TATATATATATATATATATGCGCAATGCACACAGTTAATATGAATGAAGTAGCCAATAAAATTTTGGTTGCATAACTCTATTAAAATAATTAACATAACTGCTTTTTTGATCCTTTCGCAGCCGTTAGTCAGTATATGATATTATTCTCAATAAAAGTTATAAAATTTGTGAAGTGAAAGTTGATTAGCTCATTAAAACCTTACTTCTTTCACTGGCCTAATTCTTTAAATCTCAGTAAGCTTTTTAAAATGACATCTGTGTTACCTTGATAAGCATTCCCTCTTCCAGTGATAAGATTTCAAAGCTTATCAAATTTTTTAGTCAGTTTCCAGCTTCAAATTTTGCTTAAATTTTTTTTCTATAAATGTTAAAAATTTCATGTCGAATAATTTGTCATCGAAAGTATCAAAGTTATGAGATCAAAAAGTACTGATTTAAAAAATAAGTTTGTGATAAATTGTCTTTAGATAAGTAATCGCTTCATTGTATCATTGGCAGTATCAGATTTAATTATTGGCATTGAAGGGTATCCACTATTCACTTTATATGTTTTAAATGGTGAGTACATTTTAATGACACCGTTTCATCCATTTATGGATTCTTGTGTAATATTATCTTTAAAGAGGTAACTTGGTTGTATAGACTTTCAGGAAACATAATACATTTACAGGTGATCGTTGGCCTTTGGGGTGGATAGCATGTGAGACTTGGCTTTTTCTTGATTATACATTATGCCTCGTATCTATTTTAACCGTGTTGTTAATCACAGCTGATCGGTATTTATCTGTGTGCCATACAGCATCATATATTAAATGGCAGTCACCTTCAAAAGCTCAAGTAACAATTATTCTCTCTTGGATTATTCCTGCCTTTATATTTGGCTTTACGATCTATGGCTGGTCACTAATGTCAACCTCATCCACTGGGTAATTTTCGAACTTAAATACATAATGCTCTTACTTTTCTTTCCTTGAACCAACAACTATTTTTGTTGATTCACCTCGTTCTTTTGCTGGCAGTTCTGTTGTAATTTTCATCTTGCGATACATTTTCTGCTAATTAGTGGGTATTATATTTTTCTGCAGACTTGTCAATGGCGAATGTGCAGCTCCTTTTCTGGCCAATCCTTATGTGAATATGGGCATGTATGTTGTTTATTACTGGACAACATTGGTTGCAATGCTTATACTGTACAAAGTAAATTGCATTGCTTCTAAAATTTGTGGCTTTCATTTTGATACTACACTTTACCTGTCAGTCATTCATTCTCAGACTAACCAAAAATTTGTAATTGATGGCAGTTCACAAATATATATCTAATTTATGTTTCTGTGATCACCATACTTTCCCTATCCTATAATTGAAAGCGGTTTCATCGTTTTACTTGAATTATTCTGGGATTTTTTTGAACATAAGCATGTATTTTATCTTTAGGGTATTCACAAGGTTACTAAAAAACTTGAAAAAAGAGCTGGTGCTAAAGAGCGGCGTCATTTAGCCTTATTATTTAGTCAACGATTAGGAACTCAGGTGAATATTTATAGTGATCTTATACACGTTATATCCGTTTGTTTAGATGCCATTATCCTCATACAAATTAATAACATGATTGATTGGTATAGGTTGGTGTCAAACTGATGTTTTCTCAGCCAAATAATGATTGCGATGAAAGGACGGTAGTAGAGAATGCTCATATTGCTGGTGACATCGCAAAAGATAATGATTACCACACTTTTACGGGAAATGTTATGGTAGGCTAGCTGATCATCTATATTAATTATGATTTGAACTCTTCTGTAACACTTATTAATGGCTACAGTGGTTTCATATATACATATAGTCCATAACTTTTGGTTGTTATTAAATTCATTTTATCTTTATTTTATTAGTATGAAAACTTAGTTTTCAGTGAAAACCAGCAACAAAAATTTTAAACATGAGTTACATGATGCTTCATCATATAAACTAAATTTATTGGAACAAAATTAGTTTCGAGTTACAGTTGTTTCAAAATCTGGTTCATAATTTTTGTACTTGAAGTTTTTTACATCATGTTTTGTTTTAAATGTAATGAAATAATGCAAAGATATTTTTGCTGGTACTTCTGAGAATAACCTGTGAACTGAAGTTGGAAACCATTGGAACAGATTAAGGCTTAAAAAGTTTTTGAATGGATATATCTGGCTGATTTCAGCTTCAGATATCAGCAACTAATAGTAAAACTGATAAAGCTGATATGGGAATGGTGCATAATGTTAAAGAAGAAACTGTACTAAAATCGCTTTCATCTTGGAAGCCATCGTCATCTACAGAACCTTTTTTATCTGTAGAGAAGCAAACACCTAAAATAAATTTTCTCAAGCCAATTCGATCTCCTTCTAGAATTGTAAATTTAAAGCATGATACATCATTGCTCGTACGTTATCAGCTTTATCAAAAATAACGTGTTTACCTCCTACTTATAACACTTTTTGTCAATATCGACGAAAAAAAAAATTTGCTCTTATTTCAATACATGTAATCGTTTTTTTCTCCAATTGTAGGATGGTTATGATAAACCAGAGATTAAAGATGAGGAAACCTTAAGAGAAATGATTAATGATCGCAGTAGTGATGTGCCTGATATCAATGTCACACCGATAGCGATAATTGATTCCGGTGTTCATGTTTGTGATCAGCCGCTGTCTGCTTCTTTGGACTGTAGTGATAAGCCTTCGAATCAGGTTTCATATCGCAGCCATTTATAATTAATTTCTCGCACATTTTCAGTTATTGAACTTCCTGATATATTTTGCGTGGTACTGAGTAAATCTTACTGTACAGTTTTCATGTTTACTCTCGAAAATTAAAGATTTTGAGGAAATATTTGAGTAAATCAAGAAGTTGATTTTTTAAAGGTTTGTGCAACTCGTCATGCTGCATATCGTCGTTACGTAGCTGCATTCAGACGGGAAACCGTTTCAGTGAAAAGATTTTCTAAGAAATGGGTCAGACAAATCAAAAGTCAAGTAGCAGGTGCTCTTGGTGGTGAACGCGACTCTTTTCACTCCAGATCTTCTTCATCACTCTCAACGTATGCTTTCAAGAATATTTTTGGCAGTTCATTGGGAGGAAATGAACAAAACTATTAAGTATTTGATGCAGTATTTATTGATGACTGAAGGACGAAGTAACTCAGTATCTTCAGCAAATTAGTCATGCAGTAGTGGTGTACTTGAATAGATTATAGCAAACTGATAAATTTGTTATGCCGGCAAATTTTTTTGCAAGCATTTACTTGACTTGACTTCACTTCACTTTCGCAACTTAGCTGTTAAATATGCATCACATTTATCAATCACATCATTTCTGTTTTGTCCAATTAGCATTACCATATATTTTGCTGCTTTCCTAAGAATCTTGTCAGTCAGCTCATGGTCTCGATATCATCAAAAAGGTAAAACATTTTATAGCACATCGTCAGTTGAAAATTCACATTCAAAAGCTTTGGTGGTGAAACAAACGAAAATAAACATTCCTACTATTACGGTTACTCGACAAGACAGTGTCTCCAGAAATGATAGAAGGAAAAAACAGACTCCTCTCTCTTCTACAATATCCAGCAGCCGAAGGTCACAGAACATATTTTGTTCCCAGAAAATATGATTAGTAGATATATTTCAGGTTTTTTCTCGCGTGCTTACTTTATTAACCGGAAGTGCAGTGTTATTTTTTAGATGAATCAATTCCATTCACTTAAACTCTAACAGTTCGAACTTGAACCTTTTCAAGTTAATGATAAATTACACTACAACAGGAACCGCAAATGCTTACAATTAATGGCAAACCCTATGGGTAGACCAAGAATTTCAACAGTAAGTTTACATTCCAGACCATCACGTAAATTGTCTTTGTCCAATTTAAACCTCAAACGAGAACGAATACTGCAGTCTATCTTTTCCCCCCTAGCATTGCTTCAACGGAAACGAAAGCAGACGAAAGCTGAACGACGAGCTCATAAAGCATTCCGTACAATCACCTTCATCGTTGGCTGTTTTGCAATTCTCTGGTCACCATATTATGTTGTGGTTAGTTGTAATTAATTACAAACTTAATTTCCTTATATATATTTATATCTTTGAAAACAATCGTTCTTACTGAGCTACTTATGTTAAGGGGAAACTTTAGCAAAAACCTTTATTTTGAATGAGAATAAAACACATTCACTATAACTAATAATTTTGTAGAGATGCATCGAAATCGACTCTTTTACAGGCAACTGTTTATGGGTTTTGTAGACAGTGCATACCGACTTTACTGTATACACTCACCTACTACATGTGCTATCTTAATTCCAGTGGAAACCCGTTTGCGTACGCGTTGGCTAATCGTCAATTCCGTGCTGCTTTCCTGCGTATGTTAAGGGGAAACTTTAGCAAAAACTTTTAATTTTGGATGGAAATAAAACACATTCACTAGAACTAATGATTTGTAGCTTGTATATGCCGCTGTTTGCATCTCTTTGGTTACATATGTTGTAATTGTGTTCTAACTGATCCTACTCTGATTAACTGACGACACAATATTTTGGCCCTTTACTTCTTCAACTACTGACGCTAAATTCTAACTTTTGAAAACAATTTAGTGTAGACTGAAGTCATGTTCAAACTCGTAATTGTAGACGAACCGTGCCAAAAGTTTTAATGGTCAAAACCACCGATGCCATTGTGAAATGAATTCAAAAACTACTCCCGAACTTCTTCAAATAGAATCTTCTTACATGCCCTAATCAGCATTACAGCTCTGAAATGGTATTATTTCACAAATTTGAACACCAATATGGACATTACGATCAGCATGTCTAGTATTCCTGTCAGCATTTCGTAATATGGCTAGTTCTTGAAATTTATGACTGGATTGATTTATAAATTTACAGTGAATGCATGAAAGAGCCAATAGTTCTTTAACCGCAACATGTAATTCAACTATCTCTCAGAAAAAGTGAACTGTTTCATTGATATGCAACTGTTTGTATTCTCATATTTACGATGAACAATTCTTAGAATCATTCATTCGAATATTAAATCTTTACATCAAGGCTATTTCAATCATTCTGAACGAAGAAACTTTAAGATCAAATTCATGAGTGAACAAGAGTTTCGTAATTTGTTGGATCTATGGAGCTTAGAATTCAATAATCTATAAGTCATTGGGTCTCAGAGATCACATAGCATAGGATGATCAATCCTAATTATTATATGTTCATCCTGCGGATTCACTCCTACACTTTTCTTTTCAAAACGAGAAAATTCATTTACCAGTAGATGAAGTATTAACCAAATGTAGATACTTAATAAATCCTAGTACATGTCAATCTGAAAAGTCGATTCTGGCTAAATCTAAATGGCATTTCAATGTGAAAAACAGTATTTTAGGTCCACTTACAGTCAATTTGCCTATTAAAGATTTACTTATTATCTACTGTATTAATAACAAAACTTAAAGAGCCCAAATAAATGATGCTTCGAAGTTCTTTTTCTTAAACGTGATACCTCTATGATTAATCACAGCTATACTACTACTACTACCTGGATATTTTATCTATTACGTCAATGAAATAAAAAATGATCTACGGTATTTAGAGGAAGGGATTGAACTTCCTTCGATTGTATTTATAAATACATTTCAAGGTCATCAGCATTATACACATAAAAATTGATTTTCAGCAATATAAATACACTAAAAACGTGATAGGAATTGAGCATCCAAAAAACAATACAAGACGAATCCAGAACGGATATATCAAGAGATTCTAAGTAAACGAATTGACCGAAAGTGGATCCCAACTACCGTTTTTCACATTGGACAACTTTATGTATCGAAAAAAGATTTGCATTACGGGAATTTTTGGGATAAAAAGTTATATACCCGTAGATCTCAAATTCATATGCTAAAGAACTTCACATGTAAGCATTGATACACAATATTATGATCAATCATCAGTATGACGCCGAATACTAGATGAATCTATCTGCAGAGGCTCCACTTCCACGCGATAAAACTTCGTTCCAACTTTTAAATTATAACTAAAAGAAAAAATAACTTCGAAAAATGCAAAAAACAATTAGGGAAAAGACTACAAAGTTTTTATCCCATCCTAAATAAATGCAGTTCGAACTCACCGATTATCTGCTTTACGTATTTTGCATAATTCCAAACGGGTAGTAACTGCCATTAACCAGTTAGGGCGCTGGCCAACTGTAGATACAGCTACTGACTGTCGGTCCCACTTCACTCCCATACGTTTTAAACTGCGTTCCTTGACAAAGTGAAAGACTGGAGAAATACTGGAATTTTGAATACTAAATGATTTGAAGGAGATAATACCGTACCGTATAGCATTCTGGCCATAGATTAAAGAAATCAAATATAATCCGTGTTTACCTGAACAGTATATATGCATCATGAGGCTCACTCCAAACAATCAAAACAGCACAAAACTCATGAATATCTTGTACAGTGATCATTGTCCTCATTTCTCGTAATGAGATCGTTGTCTGTACAGTAGCCGGTTTAGATGTAACAGGTGCAATGTCCTCATCTGAATGTCCCTAAAAATTCAGAACTATTTCCTAAAACAATTTTAGTTTCGAATCATAATGTTGAAAAACTGTATTTTTTTTACAAAACTAGAGATTTTAAAACGCAAATAATATATCACCTCAGTCTCATCTGTGCTTACATCCGTATCTATGTCTTTTGCCTCATTTGTCGTTCCTAAAAATTCAATTTATCTAATATAAACAGTAAAAGAGAAAAATTGCTCCTATATCCCATAATATGGATAAAAATTAACAATTTCATGTAAATAAAAGTCAATGAACTCACTATTGCTGATAGTAAAAGGTTTCTGGAGATATTCTTTGGATACCTCATTCGCTTGCAAACCAGTAGCAATTTCTGTACATTGCATGAATTCAGTCCTAAATCATAAATTATGTTCTCTAGGTTACAAAACTTTACGCCCAATTAGTGAAAAAAGAGATAATACTTACGCAAGCTGGTATTCTTTTTCAGTTTCGTCTAGTTCTTTGCAAACCAAAGAATGACCGCACATACCTGGATTCCCATGCTAAAAATTTTATAGTCGAATGTTTTGTATATGACGTACATTAAAACATGAATCGGTCGCAATATGCAATGCTTACTTTAATATCCAATTTAGATTGCGTTTAAATTTCGACTCCAGTTAATATTAGAACAAAGCACAGAAAAAGTTAATTTGCCGAAATATATGCCACACAAAGTTTCATTTAACGAATTATGCTCCATAATTCGTGCAAAGTGAATCGCCTTTTATGAACATAAAACATTCATTGGTGGTGAAAAAGTATAATTGATTTTTAAAAGATGTGTTTAATGAGTTCATGTCCGCATTTCGAAAATAAAAACCTTGTATTTTTGTTCATAAGCACTTTGGTTGCCAGAAACTGCAGCTGTACTAACTGCACTGTCAGTAAAATGGCTACTGCCTACACGAAGCATATGCAGGGTCATTTTTAGTGATTCGATTTCTTTATTTTTTCTCTATAAATATAAAGAGAAATGCACTCAATTAAATGAGCAATTGCTTTTTACAGCCACAACAGCAAATATTATTATGAATTTATTTTAAATTTCAATCCACGAATTTAAAAAAGGAATAAGCATAGTCAATAAAATAATAGATATAATGCAAACCATCATTTCCTCGCCGTAGGATGAAGTTCTTCGCTCCAGCGCCAACTCATGATCGACTCCAAGAGTCTTGTACATTTCGCTTCTTTCAGCTTCCATTCTATAAATTAAGGGACTAAAAAACGTTGAAGACTGTAGAAAAGAAATGATTTAAGACGTATGAAATAGAGAAAACAGAAAGCATAAATAGAAAGTAGGTAAACCAATACGAATTTGAAATGTTCATGCTTGCTGCTTTGAAAAATTTTTAAGAGATCTGAAGAAAGTTTACAAAAATACTTTGCAATAGTATTTTTCGCACTTGATTGTTGTTCTCGAAGTCGCTCGATTTTTTTCTCCTGAGCAGTTATAATTTGCTGAAGTTCTAGAATGCGGTTATCTTTTTCCGAACTTTTTTCCCCATCACTCTAAAAAATGCAAACCAGTAAATCCAAACCTTGACTTAAAATATGACTAAATCCACAATCTCCGCCTAAAATTCGTCAAGTTTTGAAATTTAAAAACGTAAAAACCTCCAGATGCCAACTATCACAGATAATTTAACTATCAGTGGATGTAAATTACCATCACGAATGACTCTTCCAGCTGATTTTCTTCCTCGGTTTCAGTGACAGCATCCAATAACTTAGGCTTAGTAAACATGTCTGTACCAGCACTTTTTTCTGCACATTCAATATAGGCAACTATAGAGCTGCTGATCTTTTCTAATACTTCACCTGAGTATTCTCGGACCTGATTCACAGAGAGAACTAATTCTTCTTTAAAATGCATTAGCTCCTAAAATACATTGTAATACTTATATTTCAGTAGACAGGCATAATGTTCGTAGCTTAACAAGATTAATACTGAACACATATGTTTGATTATGCATATTTTTTTATGCGCAATCAAGTTTAACTTCTTATTACTTTTCTAATCAAACCGCGATGTTACACTAACTAACGGTCACAATAAAAAAATTCTTTTAACAAGATAAGCAATATAATTTCTAGAGCATAAGCTTATTCGATAACTTTGTTTCCACCTGAGGCAAATGCTTTTTAAATTCAAGTAAACTAAACTAAAATAATAATCGAAAATTAAACATGCAAAGTGACCTTCAACAATTTCTTCAGAGCATCTCTCAAATAGAGTAAATCATTAGCACCAGACCTATCGAATACATCAGCAACCTACAAAAACAAAAACAAAAAAAACACTCAAATCTATGAACATTGAATATTCATCCCATATCTTACCTACTACTTTTAAAAGTTTCAATTAGAGATCATTAAAAAATTATCTATTGGCTTCAGTAAAGTGATAAAATTACTCTTCGCTGGTAATTGATGTGATCTTCAGGTGTCCCAAATTGACTGGATTTATTTGATAACGGCTGAAATAAAAAAAAACTGAAAAAGTGAAGAGACAATTCATAATACAAATAGCTCTATAATTTTGATTATAGCTGGCTAGCCGACACTCTCTTATTGATAGATATAGTGTGGTATTTAAATGCTCAATATTTTTATTTAGATCCTATTTGCTTATCTCCCAGTAGCTAAGAGCTTCTACCAATTATTTCTTTCTAGTTATTCAAACATTAATCCTGACTTCCTATTTCTTAGCTAAACTCACGTTTTTGATAGAAAATTTTTATGCTGGTCATACATGCTGCCTTCCCAGACGTTTCTCCGGCTTTTATAATACACTTTTTACTTTGTATCTATTTATACTTTGAAAATACAGAATTCGCAGGATAAAAAAAAGCAAAACAAAAGTAGAGATGATTTCCATCTTTACTTTCAATGAATTTTCTTCTTCAACTGACGGCACAACAACCTGACACGCAGATGCAACGCTTTGAGGTATTGCGATTGGCTCACTTTTCGAAGCATTTAATACTGAATATGCTTCACTCTCAACTTCCACTCTATTTTCAGGAGTCTGAAAATTTCATTACAGAGAAAACAAATTCTGTATTGCGTTTCTGAATTGGCTTCGACAAAATGATCTTGATCTTATATTTCGGGGCTTGCCAGTTAAAAAGTGATCCAACTTTTGTTTTTACAAATATGCTGTAAAACTGATATCTTAGTTTGAAATTAAATGGAAATATAATAAAATATTCTTATATTTCACTGCTTATTTAAGCTGAAATTGGAACTGTTTGAATTTCTTAAGCAGTTTTAATCCCAAATAATAAGCGTATAAACATTATTAATGAGAAATTGAAAATAACACTTCATTATTTGAAACGTCGAAAAGTGCTGCAAATGGATTAAGTGGTTTTGTAGAAGATTCGTCTGTTATATCTAAACTTCCTGTAGAACCAAATCGCGAGGGTGGCGATTTGGCCATTATTGTTGCATTCGAAGGTGAAACATCCAAATTCTCGTCACCACTGAAAACAATGAGCAGTCATGATACCTATATAAAAAACTTGTGATTTTTGGTGTTTTAAATTAAATCATATGCGAGCTATTGCAAGATGAATGAATTATTATAAAATGCCATTACTTATAAAAGGATCAGAAAGCTCGAATTACTACTACCTTAACCAATGCGTTGACGGAAAATTCTTATTCAAGTTAGTCACGTTAATCGTAGCATCTGTCGTATAGAACGACTCTTCTCTTTTTAAAACAGGAGTCATTTGTGATCCCGAAATAACACGCGGATCTTTAACAGAAAGACGTAGATAGATAAAAGGATCTGTTACCTTTAGTAAATTCGTTAAACATGGAACAGCCTGAAAAACCAGTAACACTAAAGTCTGGGAATAAGCTAATAAGAAAACTAAGAGCAACTCAATATTAGGCTACACTACACAATCTAAAACCGTTCCATTATACCTGTCTTAGATTTCTCAGATCCTCTGTTGACACAGGAGGCAAATTTTTATCGAACTGAGTTAAAGTACAACAAGTAAAGTTTGGAAAACTGTCGAACATTCCAGGAAACAACTGCTTTAAAAAATGTCGACCTAATTTTTGCTTAAACACTTCTCGCACAGATGTTTCTTCTGCTATCAAAGTGACGCTTTTTCCCATGAACGATGTAAACCATGACTCGAACTCCTATGAAATAAAATGTAGTGCATGCGAAAAATGAGTTCTCTATTACATTTTTAAAAAAAATATACGAACTGGTTGCAATACACTTCGTCGAAGACATTCAGTGAGCGCTGTAGCATACATTGTTGGGCTTTCTTTCACTTGTCGAATGATGTCAAGACGGTTTCGTAAAACAATATACTTTTCTTCAAATAAAGTTATCTGATTGTTTGTCGTGTGCAATCTATCATAAACCTGAAAAATGACTAGAAAACAAAAATATAATTTATTTAGCAATATTGGAACACCTAATATATATAACTTTGTACAAAACTGCATTGATAAAAATAACCTGCAATATCCATCCCCGTAGTCTTGTTCTAATATTACTTAGCAATTCGATTTTTGATTGCTCAAAAGCTCTCCCCATTTTCTGCATCTGCTCAATCAGTTTCTTGACCTCTAGCATTTTCTCTCGCTGACCCAAAACAATATCCTATAAAAAAACTCAATCCAACATCTTTCAGAGTCTCTAAAAAGATAAACTTCTACTAAGCACCTTACTGATAAACATAAACTTCGATACCCTAATATCAGTTGAATGGAAAGTTGACTGGGATACGGCGAAGCATAAATTCCTCAACACCTTCATTTGCTCTAAAAGCAGTGAATTTTATATCAAGTAAGAGAAAATTTAAAGCTGTCAAATACGAATTAATACTTTCATTTTAAAAACACTAAAAGTTCCAAAAAAGGTCATAAGACTATACAAACTATGGCAGTCATGAGACTATATAAACTTGATGTAGTAGAAATATATAACTAACGTTCTTTATTATGAAACATCGAATCTAATTGCGTAAGACGAGTATTTATACCCCGTATAGTACGCATTTCATAATTATTGACTTTCTCATTGACATATTTCATATTGGAGATTACTTGTCTATATTCAGTATCGTTTGTCTGTAATTCCTACTGTTTTGTCCAAATAACTTAATTAAGAAATTAAGATTTTTTCCAAAACGCTTCACATTCATAACTATATTAAACACATCATTCAAATAATACCACAGCAGCAATATTTGGTGCAACATATAAACAAGTCAGTGTGATTTACTCAAGTTTCACAAAAACTGCTGAAAGTGAATATCGCTTTCCATTTCCTGTCGTAATAAGCTTACGTTAAATACCCACTAATGCAGATCTGACAATAAAACGCACATATGAAAACACAGCATGTTCTATCTATGTTGCACGCTTGATTGCAATTATCATACGCTTTTTTAAGTTTATATATAGAAATGGATATTTAACTCTGGATAAGCTTAAAGAGACAAGTTAAAAACAAGAATCTAAGAAGCGATATTCTATGAAATACCTTTGATAATAGCAAATTAACTTGCTCAGACATTTCTTCCAAAGAATTTTGTGGATCAGCACGAGCTATATACTCATACAATGTGCATTCTTCAGCAGCTCTCGACATTCCTTGCAATTTATATGAATTTGACAATAAAGCCGATGGAATCTTGATCTGAAAAACTTTGTATAAGATGAAAATGAGATGAGAAAAGTTGACAATATATGAGAGATCTCGTTGAGTACTGACTTGTGATAAAGTACGGAGAACATTATCGAAATCTTGCAGCAAGGATTCAGCTTTACCCTTCATTGTTCTCAAACGTTCATAACGAGAAAAGAAACGTTCCGATTTTTTAACGATTTGTGTTCGGGAATCGCAAAGATTAGATATTAACGCCAACCATCCCTGTAACAAACTTCCAGTTTCAAAATGACATGAAATAAAGATAATGAAGCTGGTGAACTCACCTGATGCAAAAGTTGGTGGTCCTGAACTAAACGAGCACAGAACTGCAAACTTCTTTCAGCAATTTTTATTCCCAAACGTCCGGCATCACAATAACGTGTAATCAGTGGTCGAGAGATAGTCGAGCTATCAAGAATATGCAGCTCATCATAGAATCCTAGCAAATATGATAATAAATGCAAGTAATTTTTCGCAATGTTTAATCAGTTCATATTCAAAATCCTATCCACGACCTCACAAACTCATCTGCGAAGTTTCACGAAACTTACCAGTATAAAGTGGAGATAAGTCATCAGAATAAGCGTGATCTGCATTCTGAGAATTTTCCCTACATAATTTTCGAAATAAAAATACAGGATTGGACTCGGTGCCAGTTCCCTGATAATGCGAGACCTGTTTTTCTGGCAGTAACCCTTCTCCACCTGATACAAGCAAAGCCTGTAAATTACAATGACATACATTACTTGCTAAAGAATTTGATTAAAAATGAGCGAATTTAAAGTTGTTCAAGTTGCAAAGATTATGGACAATGAATCAAACCTGTTCTACGATAGGGACACAAGTTATTTCTTCGATAACACACTGTAGTTTGTGAACAGAGCCAAGTGCGACGGATACATCTAGTGCTTGCAACGAACCCTGATTTACATAAAACACGTAAAACATAATGCTTTTGTTTTTCACTGGTAATGAAGTTCTACCCTGAAAGAGATCATGTACAGCGACACACGGTGACCAACAAAAGTATAAGCCATGTCGAAGGAGAACAAAATATTGCATGTAGTTGTTAGTTCATATTTAATTGCGCAGTCGTTCAACTACACAAACAACTGCAATTATCAACAATTAAAAAATGAGTTTGAAGCAAGCAAACGGAAATCAACCTCAAGGCACAACAACTGCCAGTAACTAACTTTCAAGCACAATTAACGAAGCGACACAAAGTAGGGTGAAAGGTGAAATGAGAAGGGAACTTATTTCCCTAACGATGAACTGCCGTCCCATCGAATGATGCTATCGATTAGGGGAATGTGGCACCTGAACGACTTGCTGCTGTTGCCACTGTTATTGCTGTTGCTGCTGCTAAGAACAATCAACCTTCCTCTGAGAGTAACACCCCTGACTGACCTTTTTGTAGAACACATTAGCAGTGAACAGCGAAACTTCTTTCACGATGAAAGACTAGCAAATTTGCGACGCGCAAAGAAGCACTACCGACGCAAGAATGCCCTTGTTTATTTCACGGCAAGTCGCAAGTCACATCCATCACTGCTCTTCACACAGCCATAACAGCCTGTTTAGATGTGTTGCATGCAACACTTGCTGTCACATTGATCGCAACTAATTGGAATTAGTCTCTACCTCATCGCCGCCAGATATGATCACTCAGCTACAAAACATTTATTTAATTTGAAATTGCGTATGCGAGTACTCTGCAGCAGGTGTATATTATTGTACCATAGATTTTTCTGCAAAATATTATATATGCAAGCATTCGAAACTGGAAAATATTATGTCTGTTATGTTTCATTTTTAAATAAAACACATGAATAGGTTTATAATGTGTTTGTCATGGCGATTTCATTAATTTCTGGGGAATTAATAGATTGAAAGTGGACAATTTTAGCAAGTAAAGAGATATTTTAAGTAGTGCATTGACTACTGGTAGGATTTTAAACATTGATGCGTATTTCTGTGATTATATCCATTTGATCTCCCCATCCATGACACCGTAGTCGTGAGAATCAGGCATCATGTCGTAATCTGATTTATCAGTGTCTCATCAGTATCGAATTCTTTGTCCAACTAGCTCGTGCATTTTTATTTGTACTGAAGTCAATTACCTATTTGTTTGCTTAGTTATTTTTTATTCATGGATTTCGTTATGGGAATTGCCACATGGATATTTGTTGTTAGCGCGGTATACCAAATGTTTTGGAACTTCGCTTGGCATTGACTCCAGAGTTTGTTCCTTTGATATGGGGCATTATTACAGTATATTATCTAGCTTCCAATTTCAGATCTGTAGGTCGATAGAGTAATGAACTTCAGAAAATTCACTGCGTTGACTGCAGTTAGTGCAATACCAGATGTACTGCACTTGTTTGCTTTTTTTATCATTAGACAGTGTGTAGTGCTATAGAGCAATATGATGGTAGTTCTTGTTGCTCATAGTGATTGTCTCTTTGATTTTCAATTTCACGTTATTTGTTTACTCGTGTTTGAACTTTCTTTCGATTCTTTGAAACCGTTCTGAATCCATATGACATTATTACACTCATTAACACTTTGTAAAGACACAGCCTTCAGCTACAGTTGCGATCCCTTTATCAACATTTATTGAATTCGACTTGATAGTGATTCCAGTTTCCTTTCTCTGTTCTTTATTCAATACCGTTAAATGTTCCGGGAACAGCTATGTATCGAAGCAGCGCGATATCATCAGGGACTTTGTTTTCCTCTTCATATCTGTTCCTAACATCTCATTGCTATTTACGAGTGAAGCTAACCTTCATGCACTACAATCACATGATCGACCATACCATAGATTTCTAAGTCAACTTCCCTTGCCATATTCTTGCTCTGATAGACACTTTATTTTTGCAAGCTCAAAGAATGACTTTCGTACTAATCCACCCACCCAGGTAATTAAAACCGCTTATTTGACTGTTGATGGTTTTTGTCTCATCCATTTCTACTCTTATTCAACAGAACTGAACAAATATATCACTATTGTTCATAGAACTTGGTAATACGTAAGTACTCACCACTTTTTTGTCATATTTTATTAGATTGAAAGTATGAATTTCGATTTCTGCCTGCATTTTTAAATTACTGTTTTATCAACTTCATCAGACAGGTAATTATTTAGAGTAACCGTTGACAGATCCTAACCCAATATTATGAATACAGCTCTACCTGCTGATGCCGAAATCATTAACATATTACTATGCTGCAGTCAATCCTAACAAGAAATTGTAATTACACTTTGTATTGCGGCACTGAAACTTCAACTACAACAATCTGTTTCATAAGGAAAGTTTCGTCATAAATGATACCCAATACTTATATTAGAAAAAGTTATTCTGGATTCGACTGTGCACCAAATCAGACTCTGGTAACCTTTCCAACTTTTTCAGTGACAACTTTTGCAGGAAACAGTAGCAGGAATATAAATCGCCGAAAATCCACTTGCAAATGATAGATATTTATGAAAGCTAAAAGAGAAAATGGAAAACTAATAACAACTCTGGCAGTATCACCATCTTTGCTTATGACGATGATTTAGTTATTGTTAGCTTCGCTACAAAACAATCACATTTGGCATAAACTACTAGCTCTTTTCAATCATTTTACTTTGGTAGAAAGTCTCTCTCTATTTTTTCCATGGCATTACTTTTAAAAGGACCACTACTAACATTCAATCCACTGAATAACTTGCGTGGCCCATGTTATAAAACACAACTCTTCTTTTAGTGATCATATATCTGAAGGAACAGCACATTACTTCCACTTCACTACATATTTCAAACTACCCAACGGACAATACCTTACTTGTTTTAAATCATAATTTGAAAAAACAAGTGGAATGCCGTGCCAGAATCAAATCTTCATTTTTTATCTCAGAATTTCCTCGACTACCTTACGCTTATCTCATGCCTCTACATCACATGTGACACGCGGAATTTAAGCAATTAAAGGACCAAATCTTATATTCTAATAGTCTAATGGCTTTATTCAGACAAATCTACCAAACGAAAGTGGAATGAGTGAAAGCACAGAATCGCTTGCTAGAGATGGTGAATTTGATCATAAGATAATGGTGTGCACTATAGATTCAATTATCATGACTAGTTGCTTGTGTTTTTAATTCATAAGATACTGAATTTCACCCATTAGTCACTTCTAAATATGACAACTAAAACGCTCCTATTATCGTCATAAAACTTGTGTGACTTAATTGTAAGGAGAGCGTTAGTATCTGTTAGTAGTTGCATAATGCAAAACGACAAGCCAAATATAATTGTTCGACATCAGAACTGCTTACCACGATAAGGCAACTTCTGACCACATAACTGGCCTAAAGTCTACTGCTGACACTATATGTTTTAGGTAGTGCTAAGTATCCGTAAACAAACAAAAAATAACAGCAATAATGAATGTTTAAGACGTGCCTACATGAATAAACAACATATTAGTAAATAAGTGCGAAAATTCATGGACTTGAAGTTGGAAAGAACGGCAGAAACAAAAAAAAGAAGTTGGTATTACAACTTCTAAACGGTATCCTGGACGTAATGTTAACTTCAACCTAATTTACCACGTATAAATCACTGGCAGTAATGTTAAGCAAGAATGATATCATACTGCTCCCGAAATTTTTTTTTGAAAAAAAAGGAATTAGAAATTAACGACGAAAAAAAGGATTACGATCACATATTACTGATGTGCGACGTTGTCATGAAAATTATACAAAGTCATTTTGTTATTACAGTATCATCTTTGAGTGCTCGACGGAAAAAACAATAGTAATACATGTAAATTAAGATCACTAAAAGAAAAGCTAAAAGATAGAGGTTTACAGTTAGCCTAACACGAGCAATTAAATTGAAACACGAATACACCTGGAGCTAGAAGTAGATGACATAGACTCGATAATTTCTTTGTGACCTAGATAAATTAATTCCATAATGAACAGTGAAACAATAAAAAATACGGAACCGGACGTGAAAATAACAATGTCGCGTATTGGGGAAGGATTTATAGTTAAAAAAAGCTTTAGTTGCTTTGGAGTCCAAACACTTTCCACCCATGTTGAGTAAACTCCTGATCGCATATCATAATCTAAAGAGAATTATCGTATCAGTATTAAAAATTTAAACCAACTTGCAATGTACGATGAGACGACGACGTTTAATGGAATGCACGAAAGAGCAAAATTTGAGAATAATTTGTGATGCACATATCTAAAACACACACCTTCTGAACTGAAAGCCGGAGACCTTGCATCTGTTTCATGCAAGGAACTTCTATAACAAAAGAAGTTGTTTTCTTCGGGATCAAACTGCCAAGTATAGTGGTAAATCTATAATATATTACGAAGTAGAACTACAGCTCCCCAGCAATCAATCTTTCAAAAAACAACACAGTGTCATATATTTACAAATAGACTTATGACTCGATAATAAAACATTTTAACTTTCATAGGGGCTATTCTGCTCTTTTGACTAACTTGACTGCAGTTTACGAATCGAGTCTTACCTAAAAATTCAAAAAAGGGCACTCTCAATTAAAACTGTTACTTTTTGATGCCTATTCAAATCCTCGCACTGACCACGATCAGAAATATTGACGAGATTCTTTGACCCAAGAACATTTACAATTAATGCATTCATTAGAATACGAATTAAAGAATAATGATTTGCTCCTGCTGGTATATAAGTTTCTTTTGCTAAAGAAGTTCATGGTTATTGCATACTTTAAGCAATTATAAATCGCTATTCCTAAGTTGGCTAATTTGGTACACTTTGTATTTATCAATTAATGGCAGATAACAATAGTAAAATTAATGTCGACATGATAATAAAGTTGAACTTTGAAAACATAATTTTGCACTAACAATCATTTCCAAATCGATCATCGCCTTTCATGATAAGCGTGAAAAATCTACAAGTGTGCCAGTTAGGAAACTGTAGAAAGCAGTCCAGAAGAGTTGTAACCTACAATGAATATTTATATACCACAACATTGATAAACTGAAACAGTTTTCCATATTTGATTCACTTGATAAGCAATTGGCGCCTACATATTTTTCATCTATATCATAATGACTAATTGATTCCATTTCTGACTCATTACCACTTGTAAGAAAACCAGCTACTGCTCCCACGATACAGCTTGCTGCAGCAACAATCTGATCCTTAACTTCCGAAAATCCCTCTTTAAAAACATTCTGATCTTCCAATGAGTTGATGCGACTGTAAACAAATGTGAACATGATGAATATAGTTTTTGAAATAGTGATCATCTTCATGATAAAAGGCTAATATCGAGAAAAATTCATTGGATATAACTGTAAGTTCAAAAAACTTCCTAACTTATACACATATTGTTGTCCGGAAGGACGAAGAACAAAACCAGGTATACCGCGATGTTTTTTTAAGAATGAATGATAGGAAGAGGGTGGTATTTGAGTTTTTTCTTCCAATACTTCACTTTTTATACCTGCACTATTTTTGGAATTGAAATGTTTCAGAGCTGATTTAGCTGCATCTAATAAAATTTTCACCTGAAACAAAAATACATCAACTACATTAATTTAAATGCTCACAACCTGATAAGAGACAATTTTTAGAAGCTATAACCTAAAGAAAAACGAAATTAAGGTAACTTCTGCATACTTATCCTTCACTAATAAACAAGCATTCGTACAAATCAAGTCAAACTAAAAATGGCTTATCTTACATACTTTCAATTCATTACCAAAAGCGCTGTAAGATTCTGAATCTATATAAGCAGAGAATAAAGGATAAGAACCATCAAGCTGCTGCACCTGTAAAATAGTGATTTTAGGATCTCACTAAAAGAACTTCGCGTTTATGATATTAAATGTATCATATTTGGTTCTTTATATTGGTAAGTTATCGCAAAGTTTTATAATTCTATTATCACTTTTAAAGTAATCCAGAATAAAATACTGAAATTTCAGCACTCATATTACTCATCTCCAACTTTAACTTGCACCTCAATAAAACTCTCGATATCTGTTAGCTTGATGTTAAGGGGAAATTTTTTTCTGATGATATCATCCACAGTGGCACTACTTCCAATGTAACCCATCGACTCCTGAAACCATAGCTAATACCATAAATGTCGATATAAACGACAAATAAATAGTTTATACTCGATAAGTAATGATATGAATGATGAATGATATCCAAATTTGGAAACGTACACCATGAAAAAATGCAATAATTACTGCGCGATTGTTGCGATGCCCCCAAACTTCAAATTCTTTTAGATGATTCGAAATTGTTTTAGTAACGGCCAAAAGACAAATAAGCGATGTAAGAACAGACACTTCACCAACAGCTGCCTCTGTGAAAGAACTGAAGGAATCCATCTACAATATTCTGAAGTGCTTTCATGTTCAATCATTTCTCTATCTACGTCTATTTCGAACTTTATTTCGTTAAATTAACACCAAAGACTGAATTCCAAAAAGAGTCTTTAAAAAAACATACCCTAACTGAAAGCATCAGAATTTTTGGCTTGAAATTTTCGGCAAATGCTGGAATTGTTGCAAACAAATTTTTATCACCTAGTGGATCGCAGAGAGATATTCTAAAAGAATATATAAGTAGTAAATAAATTTTGAGAAAAAACAGCTGCTATATGGCTTGAAAACTAACACTGCATCTGCGAAACCATAAAAAAGATTTTGACGCTGGAGACATAATCTGGCATTTCCCGCAGCTCGCATGAAATGCTTCATACGTGCTGAACAAAGGACAGTTCCTTTCAAATTATCTCTGTTAAATGCTGCGTAACACTGCAAATATTTATTTCGAGCATAAAACCGGTATGCTAGAAACTAAGATCTACACAATAAATTTTTTACTCTAACACAATCTTATAAAAAACTTGGTCACATGAAATTTTGCATCAATTCATTCACTATTAAACAAAACAAATTCAACAATACTACTTACGGAATTTTTAACAATATCAATCTCAGTGTGGTTTTCGATAACAAAAATGGGTTTATCCCAATTAATAAATCGGAAACCTTCGGGCAATAATGCCCCACGTTTATTCCACTCTTTCACACACTTTCCATAGAGGTCTGAAAATCGTTATTCACGCAAATTTGTATAGAAAGTAATTTACGCATAAAGTAAATAGAAAAGAATTATGCAACTTTGACTACCAGATATTAAGAGATATAAACGTCAGAAAACAGACCAAACTGCTCGTTGGGACAAGAAGCATCTTCTGAAAATCCACCATTCCATTGTTTCTGATTGTCAATTGAAATGTTATCATATAAAATAAGTATACCACGTACTCGATTATCTCTCAACACTTCTACTGTTTTTCTGCATAAGTGAAGAAATATGTACTTAATTTACAGATTTACTTTTCATGGCCATGATAAGAAAAAACAAAATCACAAGAGATAAATTACTCATTCAGAAGAGACAAATTGAGAGCCGTAATGATGCCATCTTGAAAATCAAGATTTTTAATCACGCTAATTAGTTCATCGCTACTATTCGCATACAAAACGATACCCTCATTGCCTTTTTCCGAAGCTGAAGCATTGTAATTACTCTAAAATCCCGAAACTCTTGACAAATCCAATTATTGAATAATACACATTTAGAACATGTCTCAGAATCTGCACAAAACACTTACAACTGCATCCAACTTCATGAGTTCCATTAAGTAGTCGAAAACAACTATATCTTCCACCAATCAAATCCAAATAAATCTGGTCCGATAATCGCTCACAATAATTAGAAGCCACTCAAAATTTCCCTAATTACATACTTTTTTCCAAAAAAGGAGTAAAAAAAATATTTCCCCAACATAAGTGGGCCCCCTATCTTTCGCAAATCAATACTAATCTTTTACTGCCATTGTTTCGCGGCATTTTGTTGGATTCAAAATTGGACAAGTTATCAAAAACAAAATTTCTCTTCTTTCACAAAGTGCTTACAAATAAAATAAAAAAATTAATGCATTATTAGTATGAATAAAGATAATGAATTTGGATAGCTGCAACATTCTTGAGGAGAAAAAACAACTTACAGAAGTATAAGAACAATAAAAGTCGCGACAAGTACTTCATATTAGTTCCATATGGGTCAAACAAATGACGCCGTAAGCTTAAATTACAATGAGGTTATTTTCACGTAGGTGTATTTGACACTTTCAGCAATCAAACTGAAGTTTCAGGAAATGTACGGTTGAAAAGATAACAAAGGATAATTTTGGCGCAACGGAAGAATGCTATAGCTCGGATAGAAATGACCCAAAAACAGATGCTTGAGGCACAGTCGAACATACCTACAGCACTAACGGAACTTCCAAATCGCATTCTACATCAATTCCATTTATTTATACATTGAGTTCTTTTAAAAAGGGTGCATAATGAAACTTACGTCTCCTAGTATACTTACAAATGATTAGTACAATGTCCACTCCGAATGTTAATATTGATTCAAAAATTAATGTCTGTATGGATTGTGTATAGTATACGAGTAGTTATTAGAATTTTCGATGATGGAGAAGTTTTTCGTCAAATCTGGAAGGCCGCTAATTGACTTGCGAATTGTTATTTGTATTAAAAATCTAACAGTAATTTGAACAAGAACAAATATGATTGGTGAAATCTCAAAAACAATTTATACTATTCCTTGATTCCGATGAAATGAAGTGAAATAAAATGTGTTGTAGCAGAAATGAATTACTATTACATGTTGAATATTTTTGCGAAACATACTTCAAGGAGTACAGTGGATCAGTATGTAATCATGAAATAATTTTTAGGAGTTTGAAGGAAATTTATTTATTAAATATCTGCATCCGAAATTATCAAATTGGCAAACATTTTAAACTTTCGTCTGAGACTGAAAAGCTCAGAGAAGCAACAAAAATAATAGCCATTTTATGCGATAATTTTTGAAAAAGTAATTCAATTTTATGAATGCCACGTTTTGAATGCCACGTATGCGTATACATCAACATCTAGCGAGCTTTATTTTCGCGAGTAAGAGGAAAGGCATGTGCAATATTTTCAGAGCTTAAGTGTCTGATTGCTTCTCTAGATGCACCATAAAAAGTCGACGTTTATGGTTGTTACCATGGATGCAAAGAGCGCACAAGAAACTTCTGAATGAATTTGAATGAATGAATGAGTGAGTGAATGTTACGAATAACTGCTCTGTCTGTTTCCAGCTCCTTTTCTGATGCTTTCACTCATGAGTCCACCATCCCATACCCTTCCGAACTCGTGAAACAAGCAAAGGGGATAAGCAAAAGTTCATGCAGAGTGTAGTGTATGCATCGCTTGCCACAGCTTAATTTGATATCCACCCATTGCTCTCGTGTTCAACACTAGTCTGTTAGTTGCACAGCTCCAATTGTTCAGTACCTGCTATTCATAATTTTCCACTATGCATGTTCTCAAATCAACAAGTTTATACAAAAGTAAAATTACTCAATTCACTCATCATCTTTCATTACTGTTTCTTTTTCATTACTTCAAATCGCCACTACGGTTCCTTCACTTGCAAGATAGTTATTCTGTCCTGAATATGCTATTACCCATCATCCTACATAATTTTCATCACACAAGCGTCTGCGCAGAAGTTTGTTCAGGTAACTAGCTTATTCCCTTCACTATACTTTGTTTGTTTTCATTGAAATGTTTCATGAAATTAACGCAAAATATTCCATTACTGGTACCAAATAAGTGAATACAACTCATTCAGTTACACTATTGAAAATCTACTTGTAATTCATTTTCCAAACAACTATTTTACTCATCCTGTTAAATTTTTCATATACCTGCTTCTTCTGATATAAAAATCCTCTGCTTATTGTGAAATATTCATGTTCTAAAACTTTACAGATCACATTTTATAAATGTTTAAATTAAAGTAGAGCCAGTAATAATCCGAGCAAAGTCAAACGCTAAACCTGTTTATTTCCACACACTGGGATACGAAACCGGTCAATACGCAAATAATATGCACTGCAGCTGGATTTTGATGGGTAGCAATAACCGCAAACGTATTGTGCTAACAGTTCATGATTCCAGCATTGATGATGCGTTGTTCACGGAATGTGATGATTATTGCTCTGTCCATGATGGTAAACACTATCAGTATTAATATTATTAGCAAAAATTAGAAAATAGCCAGAGGTCATGCATTAATTCAATCCTCTCTCTTAGAGTTTTGAGTCCTTCTGTGTATTATCATCTAATAAGATTTCTTTACTTCTTTGGTGAGTTTCGCTTTCTTGATAACAGGTGATTCATCGAAATCCCCAGAACTGGTACGCTGGTGCGGTAATAATCATCCAGATACGATAATCAGCACAACTGATTCCCTTTATGTGCAATTTCACAGCGACGAAATGTTTCAAGAGAGAGGATTTAACATGTCGTTTATAGAATTCGGTAGCTTTCGTTCAACTACTTGTCATTATAATCTCTCTCTAAATTCATGTTACTAAATGAAACGTAACTGCCTTATTTAAACATGTAAAGTCTTCCAATTTATGATTCATTTCCTGATGTAATTCGTGATTGAAGCTTCATTTACTGTTGCTAAATATGAATGAACAGACAAACTAAGAATGACCATTTCATAAAACCAAATAAATAACTGCGCGACTGATGGAGTACTTAAAAACATGTTCACCAAAATTTTAAAATTGGTATGTGCATCAAAGCAGATTATAGCTATTCAAAGTTATCCTTTTCTGTGGCTATATTCCTTTCCATTCACTTTCAGGTATACCAAGCTGTCCACCAAACTGGTTCTCCAGTTCCTTGGGCTATTGCTATATATTGAAGAAATCAATCTATGGATTGACATGGTCAGAAGCTCAAAAAAGATGTGGTCTGAAACGCAGCAATCTCTTAACATTTAGTTCCACAAACGAGTACTCTTCATTAGCAGGCAAAATTTTAGAGGATATCTTTGATATTCCTCGGTGAAATTAAAAAAAAACACCTACAGAATCCCTGGATAACCAATAATTCATATATTGCAGTAATTTATGCTGAAAACAAAACAATTCCATGGATTGGCTATCTTCTTGACAAAGAAGGAAGACTGACAGCTGTAGATTCAAGCTCTGAACCATGGCCAGAAGAGTTCGTAAATGGTCATTTATGCAACATGGAATAGAAAACAAAATAACTTATTGGCCAGTATTTTCCAATTTATCACAGAAGGCAGCAATAACTGCAGTACATTCTACTCCCCAGCCAGTTTATTATTAGATATGTGATACATGCAAAACAGCCATGAATATGATTAATACTACATTAATGTCATCAGTATGAACAATGATAACTAAACTAAAATGCTCTATAAAAAGACATGTTTTTGAAATTTTCTGAAGTTTTTATCACATCATACTACAGAAAATAGTGTAAAAGCGATCCTTGGTGTTCTACTTTTTTCACGAGCAATGACATGTGTCTAATTAAAAACAATAACAATTGTGATCCGATTATGTGATTCTTACAGTCTATCAAAACTTGCGAGAAATGGAGGAGAACAAGGCTGTGCATACACCGATTGGAATTATGAGAGAATCTTAAATGTGGATGACTGTAGAAATCAACATGAATTCATCTGCAAACGTCGCCAAGGTATCCCCTACATTGCGAGTGCCACAATAACTTTTAGTACCCCAACTTCCATAACTTAAGTAAATACACTTCCAGACGGTAATACTGTACCATATTCTCCTTTGGAAGATGTGAAGGTAAATGATATTGCTAATTCACCTGCGAATTTTACTATTTGGTTATTTCTACTCTTACTTCTTTTTCTACTCCTCATTTTATTGTATCTTTGCTACCGGAAATACAAGAAACAACATGGGTTATCACGCATTAGCACTTCCGATGCAAACCAACGTCTGGTTGGAGGGCCTGACGTATCACAAACAACCATAACTCATGTTGCTCCAGAGTTCCGTAATATTCACGTCCAGGAAAACAATGTTAGCCGGAACGACGAAAAAGCTGGGAACAATATAAATTTAGAATCAACTGAACAAAATAAAAGAGAGGCAGCACTGAGGTTAGGAAAACAATATTGTACATTTTTACTTGCAGTAAAACGTTGGTATAAATATTTCTTAAGAATGCTATTACTGATATGTCATGTAGTTTCGGGAATCAAATTTATAGGATGAAAGAAAATAAAAATTTGCACCAATAAAAGATAGTTGTCCAAGCATAAAGACAAAGCTTGGAAGATAAAATGAAGCAATAATAACTAAGGAATTATTACAAATCGGCAATAGGTACAAATTGAAGCTCGCAGAGTCGTTACAGTGACTGAATTTAAATGCATTCAATTGAGAACTGTAGTAAATAAATCACTTTATAGTGCTTGTCACGAAGTCGAAGATCATTTATCTGCGATAAGTGATGCTAAACAAAACATTGGTGGGCGCGAAATTACACCAGTCAGCACTACTAGGGAAGAAACTCTGCTTAGAATAAGGCGCAGTGAACTTTTTGAGCGTCCGCGTGTGTCTGTTCTGGATCATACATCTGCGATAAGCCTCGACGAATTCTGGAATAAAAATGAAGCATCATTAAAGTGACCAATTCAGTGCCTCTCTTGCACAACAATCTGTCAGCGATTTGTTTGTTATTTCTTATTAAATCGAATAAATATTACCTACTCGATATACTGCCATGACATCGAGATAATTGAATCGTTTTTTTATGATTTTTTTTTTTGAAAAGCCTTTCACCATTCATTTAGTTATATTGTAGCTTTGCAAACTGTCGGTCAGCTTTTGGAATGAACCGCAAGAGCTGTACTCTTGCGTGAAAAAATTCACAACTGAGAATGACAGAAAAATAAAGCAATTTCTCAATACGCAAAATGACTAGAAAAGTAAAAGTTATATGCGATAAAAAAGTAAAATATTAACTATGAACGTAACTTCATGAGAAGACATAAAAATGCTCTTCAGACATGAAAATATTACTCAGACAACAGCAAATGAAGATAAACCTAGCGAATCATACGATGAATGTATGACTTTCATTCTCACATGTCAGAAGTTTTTTGATAGGACAATGAGAAGACGGCAAAAGAATGTGTCGCAAAAAAGTATGGTCTTGACTTAATCCTAAAAAGCAGCGCCAGTTTTCAACAAATCCATGGTTGCTTCGCCATTTCCTCTGGTAACAATTATCACCACTGTGTTGCTAAATACTTGAATCATTAAAAAGAGAAATTACCATTTAGATGTGCATAAATCTTTAACAAAGAAAATATCTTTCACAAGTAAGTGCTAGTAGCCCATAATGTCACAGATCTTATTTACTGAGAAGCAACTTTATAAGTAATGTGACCCATAACTAATATTGCAATAAAAACTTGGGATTAAAATACGCAACATGAATGTTTCCATGGTTTCTATTTTTTTCTACATCTAATAATCACCAGAATTTCCGACAGTAAAACATTATTTTGAAGTAACGGACTAATACAATAAATGTAAGTGTTTGAGCACTGAGCACGCCACAGAAACATGATCAAGAGTAAAACTTGCACATATGATTCTGAAATAACGTAAAAACTGCGATGAAAGAGAGTCATGTTCTCATACTTTTACCGAAATTGCAATAATAAATTGCACTGCTCCTAACTGAACATTATCTCTAGTAATATAATGGAGTAAACAATAATAAATAAGAAACCTAAGGTGAATGACTGAATTTTCAATGATCTTGTTTTCCGTATTAAAAAGATAATAACTAACCAAATAATCAACGAAAGTTTCGCCAATTGAAATTAAATACATATTCCATACTGAGAATATTCCAAGAATGATAAATAAGAGCGAAGCAAGTCCATAAACAAAACAAACATAGCTGTTCAAAAAATTTGGCATTAGTGAACACAGTATACCACACCAAGGTGCCAACGATAAATGACGTGTACAGTACGGTACTGGCAACAGGCGCTGAAAATTCCAGTATTAGCTAAAACGTTTCCTGTCAAATGAAGTAAACTTCCGAAATCTCTCCAACTCAAAATTCAAATTCCATCGGTTTGACATAGAAATACAGGAACAGTTAGACTAACCAATTTTAATAGGAGATCAAAAATCTTTTAGAACAGAGTAGGAAATATACAATATCTAATTTTTTAAGATATTTTTCCTTAATAAAACTTTTTTTGACTTTAATAGAAAGGACTAGTGACTGAATAATCTTGAAAATTAAGAAGTCTTCTATGAATGAAGATAAAACAACAAAACTAGTCACTGGTACTGATATAACATTGAATGTGATTATTTGATTTTTTCTGTTACAATAAATAATTTTGTGAAATTATGGTATTTCAAAAAGCACTTAAAGATAATTATGATGAGATCCTTTAAATAATTAGATGAATCAAAAGAGGCATAATAAATAGAATGAGCAAAACAAACATTGATAGAATAAAGGTGTTCCCAGAAAGCAGTATAATTTGCTATAAGTATCAGGCATTGCGCAAGCCACACATAGACAACGAATTGTAAAAAATAACGATGATTATTGAGACCTACACACTGATTGATCCATACACAGTGATGATCCATATACAATACACAGTGGCCACATAAAGAACAATGGTGAGTACCTTCTGGTTTGTGATAGCCACAAGAAACGCACAGCGGTTCTGCACCTGACTGCAAGTGATGATGAAGCAAGAAAATGCAAAAACAATCCCTTTTTCATATGATGACTATTCATGAGAAAACTTTGAATTAAATGTAACTTACACGATCGGGGCGTCCAGGATCCACTGAGCACGCCTTCTGATAATGAAATAAAATAGAGATTACCAAATATATCCCAGTGATGTAATACATAGGAACAACAAATGATGGCCGTACTTCTAGCTCGTACGGTAACAGAATAAGATATTCGCAACCCACAAACATAAATAGCAAGAAATGAACGAGCCAGTACAAACTCTAAACTAATACAGTAACTACAAATATTTTAAGCACACTACTTTTAGAAGTCTGACCTATGTCTGAGTTAACTGCCAACATAAGCTACATATGAAATAAAATGGCAAATTTAGTCTTTCAACTTACTCTTCCCAAACCAATTCGAATTAAGGCATTTATGAATTGGATATAATGCTGGCCGCACAAATTAAGCGATGCTGATATACGCGAAACAGATTGATTTGTTTGGAAGCGTATTTTCATCATGAAATAAATCGTGAAAACTTTTTTCTTTACCAGCAAAGCACACCTTGAACTGGTCATGTTTATGGGAGGAAAAAAAACACAGTGCAAGCATTCAATGGAAGATGATAACTCATTCACAATCCATGATTATGAACAGGATAATGGATTAGATGAAAACTACACACACTTAATGCAAACCACAATTAATGGCAATGTCTTAACTACAGTTACTAATGGTGACAATACTCATGTACACGACTGAGAATTAATCATCTACACATTTTTTCCCAACGTCCGATCCATACTACTAATTACCAAAAAATAAAACTGCTTCTACAACTGGAGACGAAATGATTACATAAACATATACCTGGAAAAGCTGAAACTTTTGCATTTGTTGACAATCAGCCCCTTAAACTTAATTCTTGAAAGAACGCTATGAAAACTTTAAGGATCTTTGAATTCACCTATTTAACAAAACGGACATCAGGCTGTTGAAAAAATAATGGATACTGCTTCCACTTCATGTAGTAAATTATGTGCAGTTTGTGCACAAAACCTTAAAGAATAATGAACAATAATAAAATAAAGAGCAATGTGAAGGACAGAAGTCTAAATGTTGAATTACTAACATCATGTTCTAGTTACGTTACGCATCTGTACCTTCCTTCTGTGCTGAGAGCTAGATTCTTCAGAACTTGACTTCTTTGTTTTGGATTGCTTCTTTAGTGCTTCAACTTCTCATTTTAAAGATAAAACTCAAAGTATCATTGAGATACACCGAACCCTCTATAAAAACATGCTCAATTACTGTCCTAAGCGCTGCAGTAGAAATAAGCGTTAGTTGTTTCACAAATAAGCATAAATTTTAATGACATGACTGAAGTCTATTAAGACTTATTCCATCAGAACTCCAAAAAATTAAAGTTACTTGGTATTTGGGTGTTCCATTACGAACTGACAGTAAACATCATCAGTCAAAGTCTTTCAGATACCAAAATACCAGACTGGGACAGATGAGAATGCATGAAGTTCATATCTAATGTACACTCTACTGCCAATATGCAACAACGTCCATGATGCATGGCCGACTTCACAGTATCAAAAATTCGTTATTTCGAAATTTTCGGAACTGGAAGGTAGGCAGCTACTTCATATTTAAAAAGTCATAATTAGTATGAAATCCAAAGCTCTTTTACAAATTTTCTACACATCCGAAATAAAGATGGACATTTATTAGATTTGATGCGTTTCATGTCTCAGTCGATCCAGCTTGCTCATATTCATTGGCTACTGCACCATTTGCATCGCTTCTTCTAAGTGCCCTAGCATGCAATAGAAATTCGAAAGATAACTATAAGGGTAATTGCTAATGCTGACGAAACCAAATTACTATCATTATATGCTACTATATGTATTACTAATTAGCGTCTCATTTACTAAAACATTACATAGTAGCATTTAACGAGATATCCTATAATAGTTCGGACTTTATTAGTACTTCCAGCAAACCTAACTACTAAAAAGATACAAGAGGAGACCAGGATTATGATGGACAGGTAATGTGTCATTTTTAATCACACCCTATTGTTTTGGATGTCTCATTCTTCATCATTTTAGATTTTTTTGACTACGTAAAAGTGACGAAACGAGTGAGAAAGATTTCTCTGAATTAAAAAAAATACTAATCTATAGAGGCAGTTAACTAACACATAATAATAAAGTTCATGTTTAATTTAAAAAAAATGGATCATGACCAAATGTCTTAGTCCATCTAGTTTGCACATATTCACTGGGATTTTACATAATGCTTTGAACCATTGCTTCTTTTGAGCGCCTTAGCATTCCCTCAATTCCCACAAAAACCACAACCACTGACTCTTGCTAAGTGCAATCCCCATACCAACAATATAGATAACGATATGCAATTCCTAAAAAAATATGGACTTTTTTACAATTTGATCAGTTCTAGACAGACGCAATATTGCTTGCCATTTTCACTGGATAATGTACATGCAAGTGATATCAATTTACCACATTACTGTTTATTGGACCTTTAACTTCTAATTTAAATAGTAATTTGAAAAGTTGCACTAAATTATTCTTGAGTCGACTTTCTAATCTTGATATAACGTAAGTCTTACGACTGTCTGGTATTCTTTCATGTCATTATAAAGCTTTACAAATATCTCCTTCGTTCCATTGTAATGACTACAGCAAGTAATATTCACAAAGAGGTACAATGGAGAAAGCAGAATGTGTTCTCATGATTATTCCCTCACACAAATGAAAATAAAATGCGAATGATAGGATGTCAATAAGCTAGTAGTGTTAAAAAACATGAATACAGAAGACAGTGTGAGACTGTACTACATAAGAAACTGGAATTTGCAGAAAAGGTTTAGATCCAATTTACAGAACTGAGCATAGTAATTCATCATTGCCTCTTGTTAACTGTTAAAGAAATCTAATCCGAATCATGTAGTGGGATTTTACATAATGCTTTGAACCTTTTATCTTGGTTAGGGTCAGGAATTATATAGTATAGAAATTATATATTATATATATCAGACAGTTACTAATCAAATACGGAATTCACAAGTAACCTGCATGCTTGGAAAGACTGCGCACCTGCGAAGGAATAAGCTAGGATGTGGACTTCATAATGTTGAGCAGAAGAGTGAGCTCTCCAACTACATAATGTTCTGATAGATACTGCGCCCATTTGTACCAGAAAGGCAGCGATTCTTAAGCAGGAGAATGCTCATAACACGTACCTGGCAATTATTGTACCCTATCTAAGGACTAAGTACAACCTCGTAGAAAATCCTACCGTTGGAAACGTATTAACAGCGCAGAAGGCCTTCTTGTATAGCGAAATAAAGAAAACCCATCACGCAAAGCTATACAAGATGCGGACGAATAAAATTTCGTCCACAGTTAATTCATCAAAATGGCTGCGATACAGAAAGATTACCCCGCAAGTGAGGCACGATACTGTTTTATTTCTAAGATAGAAATATGTTTTTAGCTCAGAAAGGTATGTGCCAACATTGTGAGGAACGTGTAAAGACGGTGGACCATCTAGCAACGCAGTACGAGAAAATGTAACATCACGACTATACTAGAAGACATAATGAGGTCCTACAATGCATCCACTTGGGACTCTGCAAGAAGTATGGT